TCTTTTATTACACTGACTTACATTAGGTAGTCTGTACCTCTTTTGCTTAGTCATGATCTAAAGTTCAAGTAAATTATAAAAGTTTGCTATTTGTACAAGCTTGAAAATAAGTACTAAGTGTTTAAATCTAGATTTCAGCCAATATATTCCCTTCTTCTCTAGGAACAAGCCCTGTTGTGCTTACTCCATTATTTGGGTGTGACAATGATAGTTGTAACAGAGCAAGGATTTGGGGGCTTTGTTCCTTGGGAAAGGGCTGATAGAAGGTTGTTGAATGTTCATCCATTTTGCAGTGAATGAAAATACCCAGGTGATCAATTTAACTAACAAAAGATTTATCAGGTAGATTATTCTTTTCCTCTTACTTTATGTCATAGAGTGGAGAATAACAGTTTTCCGAAAGAGTTGCATTTTTTTCTGAATATATAGGCAAGATCAATATTTTCTTAAGGAATAAAGCTTACTGTGAGTGAATAATAAGGCAGAAGGTTTTGGTGATGGTGATCCTTTCTCTAATCATGTTCTGGGGGTTGTTTCACCTCGTAGGTGCAAAAGGTGATGTGGGTTTTCCAGGATCCCCAGGGAGCCCGGGGATCCCAGGCCTGAAAGGAGAACCAGGATTTGTAGGTCCACCAGGCCCTAAAGGCAGCCAAGGTCTTCCTGGACTGCCAGGAAGTGCAATGGAGGGACCTAAGGGAGACAGAGGACCCCAAGGCCAACCTGGCCTTCCAGGTAATTCTTTCTCTTTAGGATTAAGGTACTGCTGTTAATCCAAGCTCATCTAAACTGATTAATAAAATAATCATTATTGCATAGTCTTGCTTATCCCCTGTCTCAGAGATCAGGGAAAACTTTTCTTTCATGGATAGTTTGTCATGATATCCTAGAATATACTCATTTTATTTCTCCTGACAGTTAGTTTTGTCCAGAATCTCCCTAACATTGAGAAGTTTGCCTCCTGATTCAGTGTGTTTCTCTCTGGGCGTTATTTACTGTTTTTGGACAGCCACGACTGCATGTTGCTATTTCTAGAGTGTTGATGTATTTAAAAATGGGCACTGTGACTTTAACTTGGCAGTGGCTCTGTGCTAAGAGTGAAGCAAGTAGGGCATAAATGCAATATGTTTGTAGCTTATTCATAGATGAGAACATACAGTGAATTTGCTCGGTGCATGCAGAAGTCTCTGCATCATTTTCCATCAAGCCTGTAGTAATAAATGGTAAAAGTCCAGTCTAGAAAGGGATTCATATGCATTTCCCTGCAACAGATTCTCCTGTATATTTTCTTGATGCGCTGATATGGCAATTACTTTGTTTCTACCCATCTTTATTTTGAGCCAGCTGGTTCTCCACCAGGTACTGCTCTTCTGCAGAAGAAAAATTGCCACTGAATCCTGTCTCATCCTTCTGGTTTATAGGTTTACCAGGACCAATAGGGCCACCAGGAACCCCAGGACTGAAAGGGGCCAAAGGAGAACAGGGGAGTGATGGTTGGCCTGGGACGCCTGGGGGTCCAGGAGTCAAAGGTGACCCAGGATTCCAGGGCTTGCCTGTAAGTTACTTCCATACACTCTCCAGAGTCCCTGAAAAACTGGTTCTTCTCATTAATGGATATATTAATCCTAGATATTTGTCTTTCAAAGTAATGATACTTAATGCTCAAAGTGCCGTTGGACTCGCTGCTGATCATGTAAAGTCAGTTTCAAAGCATTTCAAATCTCTCTTTTTAAAGGCTACCTACCAATAAGCCGCGGTGAGCTAATAAACTTATTAGAAATTTATAGATAGTGAGTGGTAACATACAACACCAAGAATATAATTTACAGTGTATTAACAGTGCAGGATGGCTGCAGCACATCCATAAATCCTGCAAATGCATTAGTAGTTAATTTTAAAGGTTGCATATTTCACAATAAATTGCCTTCTGAAAATACCTGAACTGTTTGGGTATGATATGAAACCTTTCAAATAAAGTGCACTTTCAGTACTGTCAATGACGAAATATAGCTCTTGATGTAAAAATACAAACAAATTATGCTATTAATACATTGTTGTCATATATTATTCATTTTCCCTGATCTAAAGTGGTCCCTTTTTTGTGAACTGGGGAGAACGAGGTAAATAGGACAGTCATTTGGAGCAGTTGATCTGCTATACTTTTTCTAACAGAATGTCTGCCTTCTTTTTCCACACTGAAAAATGCATTCTACCGTTTAACTTTTCATTTCCTCTTTGCTACTAAAAAACTAATAATAATAATAATAATAATAAATATAAGTAAGAAAGGATAAGAAAGGAGGTAGGTTCCTGTACACAATTCTTAGTGTACAGGAAGAAAGAAGACTCAGGGAGAAGGTCCTGATGTGAGAAGCAGGATACTGATAGTGGACTTAGAAGGCCAGACTCTTGATAACGCAAAGACCAACTGTATCCTTTCCTGCATCACTTCCAGAGACAGAGACATTAAGGATTTGCTTCAGTGTTTTGACACTGGATCTTAGCTATGTCTTTTCATCGTTAAGTGTATCGTATGATAACAGCTTTGAAGATGGTAAATTTCAGAATAATATTCCAGTATAATTTAAGAATTTAAAGTGTTTCTGCAGAGAGCTTAACTTCTATACCATAGCAAATTCCAAAGCCTTTAAAATGTTGGTATTCCAGTCTAAAACTGTTTGTTTGTTTTTTAAGAGTGGGAAATACCAAAAGATTCTGTTTAAGTGTCTTCAGTTAGAAGAAAATGGGGAGATCAGACCCTGAAATACAAATCCCATTAGTCTATTTGTGCATTTTAATGTTGAACTGATAACATGAAAGATTTTCATCAGCTGTACAAACTGAAATAGTTTTGATCTGTTTGGAAAAGATTCAAAACAAAATATTGTTTGCCAAGGTTTATCTGATGGAAAATTTAAAAAAAAAAGTCCAAGAAACTGTGTATGTTTGTGGAAGAAACATTTTGATGGAAAGCTTGCAATATACTCTTTGAATAAATCAATCAGTTTTAGGATTGTAACCTAAAAAGGTTATAAACATAAACTTTTGATGAGGTTTTCAGACTCATGACTATCGTGTGAATGAATGTTAGCCCTCCTGTTTTGTGCTGCATGTCATGATGCAGAGAACGAGCCATTTGTTTAAAAACTCCTGTATACTGTGGCTACATGACTGCAAGGAACTAGAAAACCTTATCTCATGAATACCTTTCTTACCACTCTAAGGGTGGAGTTCCTTTCACTTAACTTCGGAAGTCTCACCATAGACATCCATATTTGGCCTAGTCACCTTTTCTCCCTTTATAGTCAATGGAAAGACTTAAGTATTTGTAGGGAGCCATTCTTCTCATCTTAATGTAAATATTTAACCTACATCAGAGGAAAATCACCCCTGTATGAGTCTATTCTATTGCTCTCCAAGCAAAGTGAGATGAATCCCACTATTGAAGTGGAATACTCGATTCTTATCTCCAGACCATGATTGGTAAATTATTTAGTAAAGGAGTTTTCTTTCTTTCCCCCTCTTGTGTTCCTCATTATGTTGTATAGGAGACTGTAACTGCCGTATTGCGTCAGACTTGGGTTAGCAGTTCGCTGGGGGAAAACTGAGCTATACTTAAAAGCTTTTTGCAGGTGAGCTGCAATAGACGAAAGGATGTTGGCAGTCAGTTAAGTGACTGTTTACAGCATCTTTTGAAGTATGGACTTGGTTTTCCTTTAAGTGAGGCACTATAAACTTGTTATGATTGATTTCAGTGGAATAGTTCTTCTGTAATAGTGAAGGCAGAAGAAAGATCATGAGTTGTATATGAAGTATTTAAGTCCCAGACTATTTTAGGCCTGTAGAAAAGTGAAAAGGTTCAATGGTCTATGAATCACTGAGTACATTCAATTTCACTCCACATATGAATGTAGAAGTTTTAAACTCTGCTGTGGTCTAGATTTACCCCATGTTATTTTCTACCTAGCATCTGTCTACTTGGGGTACACTGAAATGAGTATTTTATTTTGCTGATATTTGTTCTTACTGATGGTTTTCATCACACTGTGTTTTATTGCTGAAGACCATTTTATTAGCTATGTGGTTAGTGAGACACCTTTTTTTCATCTAGTATCTTTGTAGGACAAAAAATGGTTTTATACAAGCAAAGTACGAAAGTTATTTCTATAAGAAAAGGGTCTCACCTAATCATGATAGGGAAGGACCATTCCTTAAACTCAGTGTCTTGTCTCTCATGTTGAAAATATTCTTCAGAGGTTCCCAAAAGTACACAGCCTATTTGACAGTGATATCATAACAGTATAGGATAACTTATACTTCACGTTTTCTTTTATACAGGGTAGTCCAGGTCTACCAGGAGATATTGGTCAAAAGGGTGATTTGGGACCTCCAGGAGTTCCAGGCGTTCCAGGTGAGAAGAAAATATGTTATATTTATGCAAAGTAGGCAAAGGCGGCTCTTTTGTCTCCTTCCTCTCTTAAAAAAGATGCTCAAAGAATGTTAAGCCTACGTTCTAAAGTAAATGAAAGAGGACATCGAAAGCTGTATCAGAAGGTGTAAAAGGATCTTTCCCAAGATTTTTTGCATCTTCCTTGTTCTCGTGCTTTGCCAAGTGTAAGCACGCATTTGGTTTAGAAGATGGATGTAAAATCAATCACCTGGACATTCCTGGTCAAGAATCTTCAGAATTGTCTTGAAAGGGGGAGAGGCAAGTGTTACAGCTCTATTTGAGGACTCACAGCTTTCGTACATCGCCATTGCTGACTAAATCACTTGTTATCTTCAACATCACATACATGAAAACACTACAGTATTAGAAAATACAGTTATTAGTAGAAAAAAATTAATCGTTCTAGTTTATAGATCTAAGAGTAATTTATCTTCAGTCCTCATTTTTTGGCAATTTATGCATTTGTTCACATTTGCTGTTGCAAACAGTGGAAAACTACTTCTGTGAATAAAGTCATGACCCTGAAAGGATCACGGGAACATTCATGATTGCTCTGTACACATCATTCCAAACCAATAAATTATTGAATTTTCATGCAAAGATTTCTTTTGACTTCAGGTCCAAAAGGATCTCCTGGCTTCCCGGGTCTTAAGGGAGAGCGAGGTGACCAAGGTCTTCCTGGATCTAAAGGTATGATATAAATGTGCTTTTTTTTGCAAATCTTCTTGTTGTTAAAATTGTTATTTGTGACTAAATCAATGGATATCTTTCTCCCTCCTGTGTACAGTGTCAAAAAGGTAGACTATGAAAACAGATAGCGTGGTGCCAGCTTCTGAATGTTCAGATTAGATTTAAGTATTGAGTAGAGAGAGACTATATTGGCATCTTCCTCTGAAAAATCTGTATCAATGCTTTGTCGTTACTGGAACCTTTAAATGGTAATAGAGCATAACCTTCTTCACTAATTCTTTTATTGTGCAATACTAAATATATTCTTGTTTTCCTTGTTAATTTTGACAGGTTTACAAGGTCCACCAGGCCCACCAGGTGCTTTTCAGCTTGTTAAAGGGGATCCTGGCTTACCTGGCCCTGTAGGACCAGTTGGTCTCAAAGGATTCCCGGGAGTTCCAGGTCCCAAAGGACAGCAAGGTGAGAGAGTTTGTAACCTGCCAGTAGATACACATTTTACATAATGTAAAAATAGACCAGTGGTAGGCTAGATACTGGAAGATTTTGTCATATAACAGTATCCAGGTGCTTTCGTACTGATTTCAGGCAGGGTGATGTGCAGCACACCGTTCATCCTTTCCCCAGAAATGTGTTTGGTAGGGTGTCATCTCTCTTTAGAGAGATGAGCGTTACATCCAAACTTCTTTACTGTGTGTTTGTGAGAGAAGGCACACATAAGGAAAAATACCGTGATCTTAAAGTGGAAAGTGTTCCCTGAGGGAGCTTGTCCCATAGTCCTACAATTCCTCTCTTAGCCCAACTGTTGCATTTTTTATGGTGAACTGCAGAGATTAAAGACGGTAGAGAATAAGGGAATCGAGCAAAGGGTTAGACAAACGAAATGCTGATAGAATGACACATGTCCTTCAAAATAACAGAGCACGGAGAATGGAAGCTCAGAGGCGTTCTTAAGTTACCAACATTTTAAAGGAAAACTTTATTCCTTGATTCTTCTATGGCAAGATGATGGGGAATCATGGTGAAATATAATGAATATTTTCTTTCTATTTAACATAATGCATATGGAAGTTTGTTCTTGAAGGTGGAGTTCCCACTCTTCAACTGTAGCGCATTAGTAAGTGGCTGTGAAATAATCCCAGTGGCAGGGCACAGCATGGGTTTGCTCATACGGGATCTGTCTCTGTTTTAGTAGTCAATTCAATACGTGAATGCAATATTGCATTTTGAGTGATCTGAAAGAGGACAGCTATGACTGTCTAAAGCTAATTATGTGTTACAGAAGTGTTGGTATGACATTGATGGCTTTTTTTTTCCAAGCTCAGAATTACTGAGTTTATATGTAAGAGTCAAAGTATCCACAGAAATTTGTAGAAGAGAGACATAACGTATTTCAAAAACCTGTTTGGGAAGAAGCTAAGAGAATACTGATTTCCCCACTGTTCATCACCTTCTTTTTTTGCGATCTATTTTCTGTAGTTCCTGCAGTTCTGAGTGAATCATATGATAAGCAGAGGGAAAAGATTGCTACCCTTCATTCCAGGCAAATACTAATTGTTTTTGAAGCACATCTTCTGCTTTCTCTGTTCTTCTCTACCATAACCATTTTGCCTGCAGTAACCCACGTATTTGCTCTAGATACTGCAGTATGCTCACTGAATCTGAATAACCTCAGTGAATCTGAGTGTGCTGAGTTGGGCCAGTGCTATCATAAGTCAAAAGGTCGAAACTAACATGAAATAGCTTCCAGTGATACAGTAATAACTATTCTTTGTTTATCAACAGGGGTTACAGGACCTTCAGGTATACCTGGGCCACCGGGTAGCCCAGGGTTTGATGGTAAACCTGGGCAAAAAGGAGAAGTTGGTCCTTATGGTCCCCCAGGTAAGCGCATGAGCTCTTCAAGGACTTGATTCCGCCATAGAAAAATGACGTAGGAGGTTAGGTGTGATAGTACCTAATCTCACTTTTTTAGTTATCTAGGCAGAGTACTGGAAAGCAGCAAAGATTGTTGACCGGGTCTGGAATTCTCTGCAGAAGCAGCAGAAGGAGCAGCTGTAACTAGCTTCCAGTGAATAGACAGACTTGTCTTTTGCTGGAGTGAAAATAGAGACTTACAAAGTATGCCTGAAAAAGAAAGGAACCTACCTATGCAAGTTCTTTCATATAAAACATGCTTTGATTTCTAGGAAGCTTCTGTTGTTTGAATTTCATTAGAAATAATACTTGCTTTGAATACAAGAAATGAGCAATTCTGTAGATTATTTTCCCTCAGCAATACAAGTTGTAACTTGTAAAATAAGGAAAATAACATCATTAGCTCTATAGGACGTGTATCTTCTACAGTGCAAAGGTTACACGTGACAGCTCTGGAAATACACCAAAGGACATTTGAGACTTGCTAAAGCTACAAATCAAAGTAGCTGTGGGTACTACTAGGAAAGCCTGAAGATCTTGTGATGCTAGTAGGAGCCTTCCTTTCTGCATCTGCAGTTGCATTCCTCTCCTGCTACTGAAAAGGAAGGAAAATCTTGGTTTCCTCAAATATAGAGGCCACAGGTTCCCCATAGCCTTCGTTGCAAAGGGGAGAAGACTGTTGCCTTGTGCACAGGATCTTCTGTCTCTGTAATCTCACTCTTTTTTTATGAAATTTACGCTGCCAAGTATTATTTAAACACAAACACACACACATGTATATGTATTGTGTATATTTATATGTATAGTCAGGTACAGCATATATTTATATATAGTCATATACATAGGATAAGTAATATAGTCACTATGCCACTACAGATATCATGCTCCTAAGAGTTTCCTGTCCTTTGAGTGTTTAAATGTTAATATTTATTTTAATTTTTTTCTGAATAGTTCAATTTCTTTCTAATGACTAGGTGGGAAGCACCAATTCTTGAGTTTCCATTACTTGCTATAATTTCATCCCCATTAGAAATTGATGCATTTTTTTCTGTAGATGCTCTCAAAGGCATTTTAGTAACAATACAAATGGCAAATGAATACTGAGTGCTATCTGAGTGCCAGCAAGGTGTCTTTTTCTGTGTCACCAGACAATGTCTGTAGAGATAAAATGAAACTTTCTTTATTTTAGGGCCCAGAGGATTCCCTGGTCCACCTGGTCCTGAAGGTTTGCCTGGGGCTATGGGCCCACCAGGTGCAGCATCTGTTGCTCACGGTTTCCTTGTTACCAGACACAGTCAAACCACTGAAGAACCACAGTGTCCTTTTGGAACGAGGCTGATTTACCATGGTTACTCCTTGCTTTATGTACAAGGCAATGAAAGAGCACATGGCCAGGATTTGGGTAAGAATTGACCTTAGAGACCAAATCAGAATTCTGTTAGAAACCAAAGGTTTCTTTCATTTGTAGATTTGTATTGAACAAAACTGTATAGTCATTCTTGGCTAGCTGGTGCTTTATGCCTTCTAGGCTGGTACAATAATGGATTGATGCATAGAGGAAGCACTACCAGTTTATTTGAGGAAGGCTTTATCAAAGCCTTTGATGTGGTCTTCCATTGTACCCTTATAGCCAAATTGATGAGCTATGGGCTGGTTAAATGGATGAAAAGGTGGGTTGGAAATTGGTGGGACCATCAGTCTCAGAGGATATGAGCTGTACAAAGTCTGATGGTAGCTGGTGAATAGTGATGTCTCTCAGGAATCAATACTGAGCCAATAGTGTTTAATGAATTTGTTAACAACCTGGGTGATGGGATAGAGTGCACTCTCAACAAGTTTGTGGGTGACACCGGATTGGGAGGAGTGTTTGACATCCCAGAGTGCACAGCTACTATTCAGGGGGACCTGGCCAGGTTGGAGAGAAAGGCTGAGAAGAACCTCAAGAAGTTCTGTAACAGCAAATGCAAAGTGCTACACCCGGGATGAAATAACCCCATGCAACAGTACAAACTGGGGCTTAACAATCTAGAAAGCAGGAAAGAACCAGTTAGCAATGTGCCCTTGCAACAGAAAAACCCCCAACGACGTACTAGGCTCTGTTGGCAAGTAGATCAGGAGAGGTGATTCTTCTCTATTTGGCAGTTGTGAGACCACATCTAGTGTATTGTGCCCGAACTTGGACCCCCCCCCCCCCCCCCCCCCCCGCCCAGTACAAGGAAGACATTAATATACTGGATTGAATACAGTGACCACTAAGATTTTCAGTAGGGACAGGAGCACATGACATACATGAAGAGTCTCAGGAAACTGGATTTGCTCAGCCTTAAGAGAAGATTAAAAAGAGACCGTTATTGCTGTCTATAGCTAATGGGAGGGTGTAGAGAAGATGGAGTCAGACTCTTCTCAGAGGAGCACAGTGATAGGAGAAGAGGCAATGGACACAAGTTAGAATATGAGATATTCCAGTTAGATACAAAGAAAAGCTTTTTTTGCCATTGGGATGCTGGAACGCTGGAACAGGAGCCCAGAGAGATTGTTGAATCTCAGTCTTTGCAGATATTTGAAACTAGACTGGATACGAACCCAAGCAACCTGGTCTAACTGGCAGGTGTTTGGGATAGATGACCTCTGGAGATCTCCTCCAACTTAAATTATTCTATAATTCTGCAGGCAAAACTGAGTTACTCTGTGCCTTGCCCTGTCCCTTCCTGGTGCAGCTGAGAGAAGCCACTTCCTCCAAGAGAACTTAGTCCTCCAGGACAAGGATCTTCTGCTTTTAAGCTGCTACTGGCAATATTAGTATGGCAATTGGCAATGGTTTAACAAAAATGGGTTAACAACCTTTCACTTAACCTTTCAGGCACGGCAGGGAGCTGTCTTCGTAAATTTAGTACTATGCCATTCTTATTCTGCAATATCAACAATGTATGTAACTTTGCATCAAGGAATGACTATTCCTACTGGCTGTCCACTCCTGAACCCATGCCAATGAGTATGGCTCCTATCACTGGTGATAATATCAGACCGTTCATCAGCAGGTATGGTCCAGTTCTGTTGTGTCTGTAAAATGATGAAGGCTATTAAAAGCATGTATGGTACTTTTTTTTTCTGAAAAAAAAAAAGGCTTTTAATCTATATAGATATTTTTTTCCTTGCTTTAAATTGAAATTTTGCGTTCTTTTGGTGAAATGGTTCAAAGTGTACACATTTTCAGTTTAGACTTAAATCAAAAATGAATCCATCTGGGGGGAAACCCAGACAAAAAGACTAGTCTATTTTGGGTCTAATTGAAATGAAAAGATTTGTTTTGAAATGATACTTTGCAAAAGCCATGATGTACTTTGGAGGAGAAAAGTTTTGAATTTATTCACAATTTCCTGCAGAAAACAATTCCCTTTTTTTTTTGTTTGCTTACTAGCCATAGTTAGAAACTTTTAAGGGCTCAGCTTCCTTTTGTTTGAAATGGGTAGCGTTATTTCTCATACAGTACACTGCCAGGCTTCTTGCATTGTTTTGGACGTGGTGCTTGACTACAACCATTATTGTCTAACTGAAAGGAAATAGTTGCAAAATCAATTGTCTATTTTTTAATAAAACCTCATCTAGCACAAGTTGTGGCACTTACATAGAGCATAACTTCTGCATCAATCCACAGGATTGAAGATTTGGTCCATTTTAAATATTAAGGCCACCAGCAAAAAACTGTTTTCTCATGATATGCCCAGTGCCAAAGGCAGAGCTGGGGGCAAGAGTGTGGTAAAGTATACTACTCTCCTTAGCTAAGAATCTGACAAAAGAGCTCCAGCCTCTAAATGAGATGATAATCTTTAGATCTAAGATTCCTGTTGTTGCTCCTAATCTGCATCAACTCTTGCTGATCCCTCTTCCTGCCATTTAAAGTGGATGGAAGTGGAGACTGCTTGTCATTGCTTTTTGGGGCCTGTATATACCATCCAAGAAAAGGGGCAGTTCAAATCATCCACGAGTTGTTGTCTTTCAGCACCTTGGCATACTCACAAAACTGTTTGACCCTACTGCAAAACATTTTATATCTAACTTGCATAGTGGAATCCATCTTGTTCCTGCAGTTGTTACTTCTGTACTGTATTTTTGATTTAGTGGCACAGAAGTTGCTATACCTTGAAAATTTGGTGAGCAGACTGAGACCAAGCTTCTCAAGAGTGACTGTAGTGACTTTGGTGGTCTTACTTTTTGGTTGTTACTGGATATAGATGGAAGGGGCTTGACTTGCAGAAATATTAAAATGACCAGCATCGTAAATTCATATTCCTTTAATGCTATCCCTAATCAGGCACCCAAACAATCATTTGACAATCATTTTTGAAAATCTTGCTCAGTGAGGCACCCACCAACATTTTTCCTTATGCATACAGAGCAGCTTTTTTATCATATAAATATGCATGTCTGTACATATATATGTGTGTGTGTATCTATACATATATACACACATATTTATGTATGTGTGTGTGTGTATATATATATATATTTTTTTTTTCCTGTTTAGCCAAGGCAGAGAGTGAAATAATTGTAACATACATTTTTAACATCAGCACATTCAGCAAGGAGTCTGAGAAGACTATTCTTTCAATTTATTTTACTAGCTGAGGCGTTTAAATCAACAATTTTCTCTGTCCAAAAGTTCAAAAGATGTAGAAGTGTCACTTGCTGCCTTGGGTCATGAGCCTTCTTTTCATATAAGGTCTTCCACTGAAGTACCAGAAATCTCTTGAAGCAAAGCACGGCTCCAAGAATAGAGGCAGCTTTAACATTCCTCTTTTAACTTACTCTTTCATTGATGTGTTTCTTAAAATAATTGTCTTGCTTCTGCACTGAAGTTGAAGGCGGTAGGTATGAAAGCAGTCTTCACACGTCAGAAGTAGGCGGCTTTCATTCTGAATTCCTTTGCTTTACCAGAATCCAACTTGATCCATTTTGCATTTGATTTTTTTCCACGGCTTTGATAATAGGATTCAGACTGTGTACTTCTCGGTATCTGTTTTGAGTTGCTTTCATCATTGCTAACTACAGTAGCCAATTTAGGAACTGTATGAGAAAGAAATGGATTGCATCTATCATATTCTTTATTAGCCAGCTCCCGTATTATAATTGCCAGCCCCACTGACATTTTTTATGATTCATTTATGAAGGCATGATTGATCTGTGGCTAATTTAGTGACCCAGCAGTTCTGAAACACAATGTATTGATTTAAAGTAAAAGGATGGGTGCTGCATAGCTTTTCAGGTTCATTGGTCCAGTTACTTGGCTAGAAATCTCTTACTGGAGATAAAGACCACAAATGTAAACAAAGCCACTGTTAAGAAAAATGCATAGGGAAGAGCCTGCGTTAGATGATTATAGTAGCAGTGACTGCCATTGTAATACGTCTTCCAGAGAGATGTCTTTCTCTCTGGAAGTCACTCATGGCTGTATTTAGGATGATGAATTGCTGCTATTTGTCTCTGATCACAGTAGACCACTTTCTAAGTGATACCTGCTGGGCTAAATTGTTTGGCTGTTTGCTGTTCATGTTCATGACACTGGCCACTTTTAGACACTACAGTACAAATGGGGCTAGAAAAAGAGAAAAATATATATGCATTTAAATATTCAGAGAACACGTCTCTTGCTTCTTTGCTCTAGGAACACTAATAGGAATAATGAATTAAGAGTTAAGCCGTCCCCAGCTAAATGAGAAAAGAAAAAGGATCAGATGGTTGTTTTCCTAAATTAAACATTCTGATTTTGCTTTGTTTTTGAAGGTGACAGCATTTTCAAATTCAAATTCCTTAATGAAAGGAACTTCTGAAAAGAAAGAAGTATTAGCCCTCAAATGCATGTGCCTCATTCATGTCTTCGTCTTTCTAGATGTGCTGTGTGCGAGGCTCCCGCTATGGTAATAGCCGTTCACAGTCAGACAATTCAAATACCACAGTGTCCTGAGGGCTGGAGTTCACTTTGGATTGGTTACTCCTTTGTCATGGTAAGTGCACTAGGGCATACTCTGAGCTGAGAAAAACATTTGTTTCTAGTGTTCGATCTACACTTCTGCTCTGGGAAAGACGATATCTGACAGTACCATTTCAGGTCTCAGGCGAGTTTTAGGCTTCTGCTCTGACTTTATAAAGATTCTGGCTAATTACTATATGAGGATAATATAATAGCAATTCCCTGTCCACTTTTGGCGAAATTCACGGAGCATGTTCTCTTGTTTGCAGCTGCAGCACATGGTCGAAGTGCAGCATAAGCGAGGAAATAAGCATAATTTTCCATTGTCCCTTAACATCTTTGTTGCAGAAGTTTCCTAGAGCAGTAGTGAGTCAGTGCCTGTCCTCGTCTCAGCTTTGATGAATAAGCCTTCAATTTTCACATGACGTTTTTTGATCTTTTATCAGTTTTTTTTGGCTATTTCTATACTGGAAAAAATAAAAAGGTCCAGGGAGTACTGTTTAGTTGTTAGCTTGCTTGCTGTCGTGCTGACAGCTTATGTCCGCTGCCACTGTTCCCAGCCACGTGTGGGCATGGTCTGGGGAACAGCATGGATCCAGACCCATTAGTGCTAGGCGTTATGAGAGAGGCCACACTCTTCTGGATCAGAAAAAAGGTTTAGCTGTGGGGATATAGACTACAGCCCCAGGGTCAGAGGGTGGGTCCTGGCCCACTGCCAGCGTAGAAATAGCCTGGGCTTCGGTCCTGGCGTATTTCTGTGCATACGGCTGCCCTCAAGGAGGTGTTACTGGTGCGTTGCGCTAGTGATAAGCTGGTCGGTCCAGTGCCACCCTTTGGCTCCGGCTCCTTGCTTCTCTCTGAGCAGAAGAACAAACCAGCAGACAGACATGAGAGAGGGCAAGGAGGGGCATGCAAAGAAGTACTTGTGCGAGAAAGTTACTAGGTGCCGTAATGAAAGAGGTCTCTGATCGATGCTTTTGCATTTCCCTAGCACACCAGTGCTGGTGCCGAGGGCTCCGGCCAGGCCCTGGCCTCTCCAGGTTCCTGCCTAGAGGAATTTCGCAGCGCTCCCTTCATTGAATGCCACGGCCGGGGCACCTGCAATTATTATGCAAATGCTTACAGCTTCTGGCTTGCCACTATAGAGAGGAATGAGATGTTCAAGTAAGTTCGTGATCTATTTATCGGTATTTGAGACTCGCTCACGCCTTGTCACTGAATAACAGAAGTATTGTTTGAGTGTAAAACATGTTTGAAGTATTGGCTGTGCCACAGCTTGATTAATATATACAGTTAAGGACTTCTGTTTTTCTTTTTCTTTTTAAATAATACCTTTAGGGGAATTAATGAGTGTATCTTCCATTAGTGTCTACAGGTGTGTCATTTGTGCTTAGTATTTTGCTTTTTAGAGTGATCTAACAATGTTTGCATTTCCAGTATGTTTGATTGTATTCATTGAGTCGTAACTGGGATAGGCTGATATCCTGGCTGAAACTAAGTTAGACTACAACCTTCTCCCTAGTGGATGTTAGCACCTAATAGAAACACTTGAAATAAGTGCAGATATTGAACATGGAGAGGAAGGAAATGGAGTGAGCTGAACAATTATTTACTGCTCTCCAGTCTGGAGAAAATCTCTCTAAATGAACCTCAGACCAAGATGGAGGCCTTTGGCATTTCTTCAGTCCTTCTGGGTGCTAATTTCAGGAATTAAGTGGTGGTAGGCTCTGTCCTGGTCCCCTGCGTATAACTATATTTCTCAACACAGTACTGTTTGATCCATCTGAATTCTATTAAAGTTAATTTGTGAACATACGAACCAGCTCCCAGGTACCAGTTCTCTGCATAGCTTGCCTGGTTCACAGGCATTTCTCTTGAGCGCAGAGGGACATCCTCTTCCGCTGGTTTATCTGCTCATGCCTTCCGGATCTGTGAATGCTCCTTAGCAAGTCTCAGTCAAAATGAGGCAGGTTGTGTGGCTAGGTTTAAATTCTTGTCTGTGGGACAGCTGTAAACTGAGTAGGTGGCAAAGTTGAGTGCTGGGACTAGTTATCTCTGGGGCTGTGATAATCACTTTAACCAGAGAAGCTACGGCTAACAGAGCTCATGTGCCAACCTTGGGATGAGCACTGGTTCCCTAGAAAGGAGTGGGGGCTGGTCACAGGAAAATACAGGAGAGTCTGCACTACGGTTGTTTGTATTCGAAGAGTCCTACATGGAGAGAACTGTCAACTTGATATCCTTTTCTGGCTGCAAACTGTGTCTCAAGCCACTAAAATAATCCTAGTTTATACTTCATCAGGGGACCTGTCTTGCTGTCATAATTCACAGGGGTACTCCAGTTTCCTACAAACTCATAATCCTTTTAAAAGAAAAAAATTAAATGTAATCACACTTTTGTCTGAAAATGCTTTACTTCCAGCAGCAGTAGCATTTTATGACAGATTAGAGACACGAAAGACTGGTTTGTCTGTCTATTTTGACACCACTTTGCATACATCGTTTCCCTTGTTGGCTATTTTTTATTCTGTAAAATCTCAAGAGTTAGAAGAAACTCATGAGTAGTCAAATGCCTCAATTTTCTTACCTGGTTTTTATGGCTGCCTAAATTTCAGCATGTTTTCAAACTGCTGATTATTAAACAGGTAGTGTCTTCTACTTAAGGAAACCCTCGGCCGAGCAACAGAACTAAATTCTGAAGTAACTGGAAATCACTGATGTTTATCTTGTGACAGTCTGTGACTTACACTTAAAAGTGTGTTGAAATTGGAGAACTTAGGAACACTCCGATTCATCACAGCTCAAAGTGGTACTTGGCTGCATGCAAAGTTTGCCTTGTCGATGATGCTTCTGAAAACTAATCATTTTGTATTAACAACTGTTAATGGTTCTTTTCATTTATCTTTTTTCGATAGGAAACCAACACCCTCAACGTTGAAAGCAGGGGATCTGCGCTCAAACGTTAGCCGTTGTCAAGTCTGTATGAGAAAAACATAATGACTTTTGAATTTCAACTAATTTCACACAATATGGTGCTATTCGTTTAACAGCAATGAAGCCTAGACATATATCATATGTACCTCATTGTTGTCGAATATGAAAACAGTAAAGTGCCTTTTAGGAACTTGCATAACTAACACACACTGCTTTACTGGCCCTGTCCTTGCTGAAGATGAAAAGAGACAACAAAGATAAGCTTCAAATGTTGACATGCCAAATGGCACTTTTGATCAAAATATATATATTTTTTATATAAATGCAATGCACTGATAGAATAAAAAGTCAGAGTTCATCCAGAAAAAAAATGCAAAGGTGCTAGGAGATATGCAGTTCTGCCTTATACTGTTTGACTCCCCTTTCTCATTCTTGTATTATATATTTAGATTCATTCTCCTTCCCCAGATAAGCTTGTTGTTACCATTATCTAGCTGTCTCAAAATCCAAAACTCTTAGGTATGTACTTATTCTTCCTGTACAAAGCAATACTAATGTAAAAAAGAGTTTTAGGATTACAGATTGTGGTTAAGCAGCAAGTAACCATGTTTCCAAAACATAAGAGTGCCATCCTGCAAACCTTTCCTTCTGTTTGTAGTGCTATTGGTTTTAATAGGACTACATTTGGAAGAGATTGCCTAACTGATTTCAGAAAAAGGCAAGTAAGTATTTCTGCTATGTTGGTACTATGCAGCTTCCTTATGCAGTAGAACAAACTTTCTGTGGAATAAGGAATGATCCAGCAATGGTCAAGAAAAAAAATATATAAATATTTTAGTAATTTATATAGATATCAACCATTAGGCAAATCAAGCTTTGAGTTTATCACTTCAAAAAGAAGCTTACAAAAGTTTTCTTTTTTTCAGTGTCATAAATTAGATGTTAAATGCCAAAATATGATGTGAAATGTTCATTTTGCATAGCTCATTTCAATACTGAAGTCTGTAAATTGCAGAGACTGAACCCAGGTTAATAGCTATTTGTCTTTATTATAGTAAATCCTGCTTTGAGCTTATAGTGTTTATTCTGTATTTAATATTTTTCAGGGTTTTAAACACTACTCACACACTGAATGACTTGATTTTGAAAAATGATAAGGCCTTAATTTTGTTAATACTGTGCCAAAAAAAGTCTTCCAAGTGGCCTAAGAAATATTTCTAAAGACTTTCTATGCAATTATACCAATGTTTAGACAAATCTGTGTCTGAAAGTGTTTTATAGACTATAACCATGCAAATGCCAAAAGATTCTTAGAAATGCCAAGGCCTTCATGTAATTTCTTAAATTTGTATTTCTCAAGAATTCAAGTTTGTAATAAAACTATTTGTGTAAAAAAAGAACAGAAGAAAAGAAAAAGTTTTTGCTAATTTGTTATCAGCATTCATTTACAGCAATGAATTAATTTTTAATAAGCCACCAATAAATGCACAAGCTTGATGCAATCCTATATTATTTTTGTTTTGCACATCTTGCAGATGTACAAAGCATCTTTAAAAGGGGAATACAGGACACTGTACTGACACCAAAGTTGTTACCTTATTAGAACTGGTACTGGTAAACAAAACGCAGGTTATACATCTGTTATTGACATATGTTTGATGTTAACATATTATAAAAATGATCTAACTTAGCTCCTGGGAAACAATCAAGTTGCACATATTTTTCACTGCTCCTTTGAATTTTTCGTGCACAAATCAGAACTGAATTAAGTAGAATAAAAATCAAAGGCATCCGATATAATTTTGCTTGTGAGCAGGCCAGTTGAATCTTGACTGTGGTTGCCTGAGGAAGAAATGGGCCATGGTGTCTTTTTCCATGGCAAAAGCACATAATTTGTTCACGTTCCATGTTGTTTTCCTAAATTTTTGAAGAGGTCGCTGCTGGTCTGAACTCGCTTTCACGTAAAATCCTTGAGAACATTGGCTGGCCGACCCCAAATACAAATTGGCCAATTCCTTTAGTACTGATCCTTCCTCTCATGGAAATTTAGAGAGATGATCATTTCGTTGATAAATGACCAGTCCTCAAAAAAGTCCCTTATTAGCCTATAGCATGGCAGGCATGTGTTTATAGCTGGTCAGCCTGATGTATTCTTTTCCAAAGTGTCATGTGGTTTTCAGAGGAAGAGGAGAAGAACCTGAGGTGGTTCCTCCTGGCAGCTAGGAAGAATTAAACAGATGTTCAGCATTCTCTATCTCAGAGCATCCAAGCTGCTGGTCAGACTTTCTAATTACACTCTTCAGCTTATCTCCTGGTCATCTAGGGTTTTAATTTGCTTGGTTTCAGTTTTCCCAATACTGCCAGCCAGTTGGATTTATGAAGTCATCCAAGTTATGCTTAAATGGAATCTGGGCATAAGGAAACAATCCCATTTGCCAGTGAAGGTTCTGCTCACTGCAGCTAGGTGTGTACTGACCTGTATTTTCTCAACGGGGAGCATTTTGAAAACAAGGTCCTTTGAAAATTTTCAAAAATTGTTTAAACTATAGTTTGATGCCTTACTTATCTAGTGGTAATTATTTATTCCGTAATGTTCAGCTCATAATTACCTAAACCTTTGTCATGCTCTTTATACTAAAGTCAGTAAGTAAATTTGCTCAGTGGCTGTTGATGCAAATCAGATCTACAGATGTTCTGGACTCTACTTTTTGAGGCCCTGAGTGAGGAAGAGCAATTTCCCATGCACTAAAACAGAAGTGTGAAACTATCTCTTTCTTTAAAAAATGTGCCAGAATCCCATATTCAGTTATTTTGGCCAGCATTGTTGCTACAGTACAATTCATTGTATGAATAGGGAAGTGCAAACACATCGTTTGTTAAAATTGTCTTACATAAGCTTAAATTTCAGGATAAAGCTTTTCTAAAGAAGTATGGCTTGGTTAGCATGCCTGACTGTTTCTGAATGCATTACTTGAAGAATAACTTTCGTGACGGAAATAAATACATTTCTAAAACGGCAGGTGGTGCTCTTGCTCTCTTTATAGTAAGAATGGCACTAACGACTGTAAGCTCTGCCCTGTTCTCTAATCCACTAAAATGTAAAGCGGGTTTGCAGTTCTTCATTTTCCCAAGTCTCTGTCTCTGTTCTGACATGTTCTAGTCGCCAGGAATTTTTCTTTTCAAATAGGAATGGAATAGTATTCAGTAAAAATTAAGATTCTATGCATAGACAAAATACAAATACATTAGAATGAAATAATACAATGTATTGAAACAAGTGCTCTCACTGACTTTTCTAAGGCTATTTTTAGCCTGTGTATCTTTTCTACCAGATGTACATTGAATTTATAGTTATATATTTATTATTCTTATATGATAACTTCCGTGATGAAATACATTTTTTTTTAATGAAACAGGTCTCCTGGGAGCCATAGCCCCTGGAAAGTGGTTGTATTAAAGTTGTACCTTTTTATGGCTGAAATCATACAGTTGTGTGACTTTCAGAGAATGACTTTACTAACTTTCACATTGTACAAATCTTGAGTAATCTATATTCATTGCACAGTAAAAAAGATAAACATCTGTAAAGCATAGAACCAGGCATATGTGTCCCAAAAGACCTGCTAAGCCCAATAAACCATTGAATATGGCACCCAGCACAACCAAAACCCTTGAGAACTATAAATCACAAGTGTCTTGGTATCTGCCTAAATCTCCATTCCTTGATCTAATAATGGTGATGGTCTAGTAATAGCTGCACTTTGACTTCCAGAGGGAATTTGGTAGCATTTTTCTTCAGGCTGAGGAGGAGTTACCTCTGTCCTTGCTGTTAAGGAGTTACCTGCTGTCCTTACCAGCTAGTGGCAGTGATGTGCTGCCTACTGTATTCCAACCTGTTCATAAAGAAATAAAGGGTCTTCCCCATGGACTTCGCATTCTGAATTAGATAACACAGTGAGAAAATGAGATCAGTGTGGATCCTTAAATGCATCCATCAGGTTCAGGTTAAGGCTGAGACCAGTGATGGTCTGGAGTATAATTAATCGCTAGGATGAAAAAGGGTATCTAGTAACCACATGGAAGCGTTAGGCCTCTATCTCTTCAGTCAGAGGCTAGAGTATACGAAGAAATCATTCTACCCATCTATTAGTCACAGTATAGTTTATTTAATATGAATTTGATATTAATTATGAGTTAGTAATATTGGGTGATTCTGCACAGCCTGATTATAAATCAAAAATAATACACAACTTTGTTTTTAGCGCTAACAGCTTAGCAAGAAGTACCACATATTCTCTGTGGAAGATGTATTACCAGTCAGAACCAGTCAAAAATAATCTGGAAGTATGCATTTTTAATAATTCTCTTCCTTCAAAGTGTCAGCAGAACTGCCCTCCGAAAGATAAAAGGAAGGCGTGTGTGGCTTTGGCTATTTCTTTTTAGCAAACAGTATGCTTGTTGTGTTGCTTGAAGTGTTAGTACCAATGGGACAATAAATCAACACTACTTCTCATGAACTCAGAAATACTTTCTAGAGTGAAGACATTTCATCCAACCAGGCTTACTGATATCACCTCCTGTGTTCAGCTCCTACCATAAGAGGATGTTGCTCTGAACTCAACATTCTTCCTTACAGTGCAATGCTGATTTCTAAAGATATATTCCTTCCAACTTCTTAATGTCGTCAGACCAAAGAGAACAGAGGATTGCTTTTATGTAAATACTCAGAAGATTTACAAATGTCTGAATCTTTTGGTTTTACATATGTCATAAAGCTGCCTTCATTTTCCTCTGGCTATATGCAGTCAGCTGTATTTATTATAATTGGCGTGCAGAAGACAGAAGACTTGACAGAGTGAAAGTTATAGATGGAACATGATCATTTGATGCTCTGTCAACTTCTGTCTCGCATAAGAAAACATGCTACATTTCATGCAGAATTGTAGCAGGCTTCATCTGTCATCTCAGCTCCATGAAGTATGATTTACACTGTAGTAAATAAGCATGTAAAATGGCCTGGGCAGGGGGGAGAGCCCTAGTAAAACAGTTTAAAGAGCTCAAGCCTTTGATCAAACCTTTTTATTATTCTTGGTGCACAGTTTTTATACTGGCATAATTCACTATATTCTTTCTCTAGAATATATCTCCCAGGCTTTTACCAAAGTGGTAATTTCTCACCATTGGTTTCTGGAAGAGGTTCAAAGTGCTAGCCCATGCCCAGTGCTGTCTTGTGCCAAAGCTTTTGTTATCTTTGTGGACATAGTAGCTGGCAATGGAAGACGTTCCTGCCTTCCTTTTTCCTCTAACTAATTATAGCAGCATTTTTTCCAGCCTAATTTTGGACGTGAATGACAAACCTGTCTGTAGGGTGAGATCAAAGTGGCCTTCAAACCACAGGAACTTGAAATACAATCACATGTCAAGAACTGTTGCTGTGTACCACTTTTAAAAATGTATCTGGGAATTCCCGCCGTATCTGTGATGCTCAGACGCTGGTTCCTAGGGAGGTCTAAGTAAGTATTGTTTTTTATTTATATTGAGATTTACTTCCTATTGTCATAGCATGGAAGAAAGGGCCCCCCCTTTGAGACTGAGGAAACTCTGATAGGTGAGAAGGTGAGTAGGACACAAAAGGGAATGAAGACCCTTGGCAGCACAACAGGCAACCAAGGAATGAAAGGACTGCTCTCGTTTCCAAGTAGACTGGCCTGACTACAATTCTTTCACTGGTTTTCTGACCACCCTTGATCAGCAATTAGGAACTGTCAGCGGTCTCTCTTCAAAAGCTGTTTGTAATACCAGCCAGGCCTTCTAGCATTGTCCCTGAGCTAAGAAAAGGTCCTAGACCAAAGCAGTGAAAGATACACCCTGTCTTATTCTCAACCCTCCCTTTGGCAATTAAAACCACACAGAGAAGACAAGAAGTGCTGGCATTCCAATAAAAATACACGTAGATGTTAAAAGACAAATCTTACTTCTAGTCAGGGAAAGATGGTGAACTCTCTGAAATGAGAAGAATAAAACCAGTAATGGAAATTTGAGGAAGAATATTTTTAAAATATTTTCTTCACATGCAATGTCTCAGAATCAGAAAGGCAATATCTGAAATGCTATAATCGCCTACAGTTATAAGGAAAAAAATGGGATTTCTTAACAGGAGAGCTATTGAAGTTATGCAGGTCAAGCTGAAAAAAACAAAAAAATCAAATTGGCTGAGTAGACCCTAAACACAATTTTATATATTCCAAATAAAAAGCATGTGCTGGTTTCAAAGATTACTGTGGTTGCTAATTGTGCAAACCAGAGGTACAATATTTCCTGGAGAAAGGCACTGTAACTTAAGGGTTGCGGGTACTAATAGCTCTGCTGGGAGAGTACTTGAGAACCTGCTTATATAAGGTGCTTGAGAACATCTATGAGAGTTCAGTTGTATCCACTTGCTTTGCCAGAGAACTGACCTAAAAAAATGGAGCAGGTCCTCCTAGTTGAAGCATCAGATTCTCTGAAATTACACCTGTGAAACAGATCTTGAAGGTATGGTCAAGTTCTTGATTCACTAATATGAAAAACCTGAGCTCTTCTAGGTAACTTCAGTGCCAACATATTTTTTGGTATATTTTGCCCTAATCTATTGTATTCATAAAAATGTAGTCAACACAGATAAATTAATAACTATTCACAAGAGGTAAGAAAATTCCTTTCAGAAACAGAAACAGAACAGTAGCTTTTTAAAAAAAAAATGTTTCTCCTTCTGTTTCCAGGAAAATTGCAAAGGATCACAGAGAGAAAGAGAAAAATTTTGTAGTTGTTTGTTTGCTTTTGCAAGGCACCGAACATGACCCCTCAGGAATGTGTAGGAGAGGAAATGAAAAGCAGACGTGGGAAGCTGAAAGAGCAGCATTTATCCTCTATCGTTAAGTATATAATAAAGGTAGATTACATCAGTTGTTGGCCTATTCTCCCTGGTGAACAGGTGTCATAGATACAGTACTGTCTAATCAAATATTAACTCATCATGTGGCATATGATTATGTTTATGTACATAGTTCTAAAATAAATCCGTAAGAGTTTAGTAGTAACTCTCTTCAACCTTCAATTTTAACAAACTATAATACAAGACTTTTGATTTTTCTATTTCTACATTGTTTACAATAATGAATAAATTCCATTTCCCCCATTTTCCAGGTAGGGAAAATGGAAATGAAGTAACTTGCATTAAGTTACAAAAGAAGTCAGTCTTCTGAGTGCTGGACCAGGTCAGTTCTTACTGGATCATGCTCTGCCCCAAACTGTCTGGCCCTTCTGGACAGTGGTTAAAAAAAAGAAATAATTATTTATTTTTTACATATTCCCATTGCATTTGTTAGACTTCTGATTGTATACAACCTTATATAATATCCAAAAAGTTACAGCAGTTTTAAACCAACAACTGGATCAAACATGCAGGTATTATACATAGGATGTCAAATAGCATAAGAAGAGTCATCTGATGAGAGTCCCTTTTGTCTTTTCACTTTTCTGGAGGACACTTTTCTGGAGGACAAGAAAGTCACAAAACTACGGTATTCAGAGTAAAGCCTCAGAAGCAAACTAATGGTAGATGAAAAGAAGCATGAAGCAAAGTCAGCCTGTTGCCTAGCCTTTTCCTTTTGGCTCCAGGAAGAGTCACTATAGAAGGAGAAATGCTGGCCACAGATGATGTTCTGGATGATCAGGAACCCTGACATGGGCTCCTAAAGTTTCCTCCTTGATCCATCCTGGCTGCTCTGTTTCTGAGATGAGAAGCAAAAAACTCCTTCACGCTAACACATAAAATTTTAAGGAGGAAGCTAAAAAAAAAATCTTACTGTTTAGTAGAGAAGGGACTTCTTAGTAAATTGGGTATAAGGTAACAATAAATAAATTCAGCCTGGAGAGTCTTTTATAAGCATCAAAGGAGGGATGTTGGGAGCTGGGTTTTTTTTCAGTAAAAATGTAGATAGAAAATTATTAAGTGTTAACACCTGACAAGTTT